GTGTGTGTGTGTGTGTGTGCGTATGTGTGTGTGCGTGCGTGTGTGTGTGTGTGTGTGTGTGTGTATCTTTATGTGTATCTGTATCTGTATCTGTATCTGTGTGTTTGTATCTGGGTATCTGTTTTGTTTAAATATTGTCCCAATACATACTTATCGCAAAGCTATATATTAAGTTGACCATATGTATAGTTTGATCCGTCCGAAACCATCGAGCACATTTACTTTGTCCACTATGTCAAGAGGTCGATCACGGACGAAACAGTGTGTCGCATATTCTTCAGTCAAAACATTCCTACTGCATAAACGAATTGTTCAAATCGAAGCTAGCACAGTGCTTAATGACTTTAATTTTGAGTTATCATCTCCTCTGGGACAGTAATCTGATCACGGCTGTAACAATGTGTCCACGACTTTTCTGACCATAATCATCTCAACTACTAACGCACACACGTGTCATTCCTAGTAATCGGATACTTTCAAGACGCTCATTGACTTGAAGATAAAACCCTCTTTTAACCCGATAGACAAGCCCGTCGTACCGGATCGTCCTCTCCTCTGGGCCAGTTATTCGATCACGGGTGTGACAGTGTGTCCACCACATTCCTGACTATCGCCACGGCTGCCAGTGGTAATTTGGGTTCCAGCTGGATGACGCTTGCCCTCATGTTCTCGGTTATGATTCCCTTCTTCGTCTCCCAATGGCAGGTATGTCTCCGTATCTCTTGTGTCACTTGTATAGTAGGTATTATCAAGAGGCAAGGATGGTGTTTGCATGACTATAATGGGCCCTTGTTTCGCTCCTGAGGCAGCCCTGCTCATCTCTAAGGAATATGTACTGTGCTGTATACGGTGGTGAAGTCTCTGTCGATGCGAAGTTTTGTTCGTGTACCTGTGAGAGTGGATTGTGAAGTTGCTCTCAATGTGAAAACTAGTAGAGTGTACATGATATGAGGTCGCTTGCTTGCTTGGCATTCCTATGTGGAATCTGTTTGGTTGGTCTCCAGTGTAGTTCCAAATACGCTCTCCAAGTCCACACGAAGGAGGTACTGTAGATACCATGGGAAAGCCACATACGAAAGCACATGTCCACAATTGTATTGACCGTTCGTACTCGGAGTATTGTATATACGTGATGCACCTTACCGCCTATATTATCAGCCTCTCCGCGGTGCCGAATCCTATGTACTCACCTTCTATGCCCCACCCGTACAGGAATACCACACACGCGTGATGAGCACCAACATAGGCATTATCGGTGTGACTGAGGGACAGTGTGCCTCGATGTTCATACACGTAGTTGCCGCACTGTTTGGACCCAAGGCACTATACACGGAGCTGTTCTGGGGCATTTCCATCCTACCGTACGGACTGTACGCCAATTTCATAGTTAATTTCTTGCTCACTACGCTGCCAATGTACGCGGTCATCACCAAGGCGAAAGATGCGGTGTGTCAATCACATGGACGTATTACAATTTTTACGTCCTACATATTGTGTAGAGAAGTGATGTGCATTGTTGCCCAAGTGTCAGCTAGGATTGTTTCATATGGGGTTTGGACCTGTAGAAGGGTCATACGAGAAGTGAGGTGCATACTTTGTGCATAGGGTATTGCACCTCTACCAGTGATGTATTCTAGCATCGCCTGCACCCACGAAGAGTTCTGGTCAGGATCTCTCTGCCCATGCATGAGAATTCGTGAATTGTCCTACGCACGACCTCTGTCATCTCCTTGTCGAAAAGCCTTGTATTTCGATGCTTGATCTATTAAGTCGCTTTTGTATGAGTGGCAATTCTAATTTCCCACGTTGCGAAACTTTGCTAAGCACAAACGTAGGTGCGCATGACATGTTCACATTTGCTATCCCTTTGGTATTTCGGCAGAAACGCGCTTTCGTGGAATTAATTCCGATTTTCCTTCTGGTGATCTTTGGCTTCCTATGGGCACTCGATGAAGACGAGACGAGTGTTTTCAAAAGGCATCCTCGGTTGGTATGTAGTACATTGTGTATCCACACCTTCATTCTGGTACATGGTTATAGATACTATATGTTGTCACTGGCCTCGAGCAACCATATATGTAAAATGATTATAACCCTTTGAAGTCATATACTGTCATTCAAATATCCGCAACAAACTTGAGGGGGTTGGTGCATAGAATTGCATTATTGCCTTTTAACGTCTATGCTTTTACGTTCCCTTGCTCAGGTGGGAGGTCTCCTCGGCCTGTTATTCACGCATATGACCAACCAGATGATTCTGAGTGCTATGACACACGTCCAATACCCCATCATGCAATGGATCCTTGTCCCACTACCATTTGTTTTCGCTCAGTCCTATTTCCAGTAAGTTTTTGCTATGGCACACGTTCAATACCCTATCGTGCAATGGGTCCTTGTCCCACTACTTTTTTTTTCTCGCTCAATCCTAAATCTAGTAAGTTTTGTGAAAGTCAAGGCTCCGTGCAATGACCTCGTAGTTGAGTGCGGAACATATTTATCGAGTGCTATGGTATACTTATCATATAATATCATTACCTCGAGTCTCGCTACTGCCCGTCCCCAGTCGAACACAACGGCAATGTAAGCCCTTTAGATGTACAGCCTCGCATTTCTCTTCGTTAGTGTGTACACAGTTTAGCGTTACTCGATTTAGTTAAATGCGATAGTACGCATTCAATGCTTTGCAATGTAGTGGCTTCGTGTCACACTTCTGGCTACTTTTGCACCGTTCAAGTATGTTTGTCCTCTTTATTGGCCACATTAAAAGGTGTTTTGGAAGTTTTTAAAAGCAAGTATACACTATAGGTGTAATCAATCTCAATTCTATACTAAACATAGGCATTACTCACTCTTTATAATAGTCTGTCTCCGCGTCATGATGGAGTTATCCTGGGCATCTACCTCGGCATGGCCTTCATGGAATCTGCCAGATATGCACTTCAGCTGATTGAGGAGATCACTGCATTGTTAGGCATTAACTGCCTCACTCTCGAGAAGAAATTTGAAAAAGATGATTAGTTAAGAAAGACGCTACGTATGACGATATTAAAACAATGTGTCAACTAAGATAGGTATGGGATGCTGTGCTTTAAAAAAGAAGATTGAGAATAATTCTTGAAGCCTTCGTTGACAAGAGAAGGGAGTTGAGAAAAACGAATAGTTTCAGAAATACACTAGTTGTCTGGCATTAGGTTCGAAATAATAGGCCAACTGAGATAGAAATAGCACGCAGCTAGAGAAATAAGGTTTTCAGTTGAATAAGTCGTGAAGCCACTGTTCACAATTCACATTCTATATATGATTCTTCGCTTGCTTTACAGCATTCATGATTTATCTGTAATGCAACTTTACTGCCATAATAAATTTAATTCGACAACCTCAAGTATTCCAAAGGAGACGATTTGCATGGGGTATAGGTGTCACGTGACATTTCGTCCGATTCAATTTAGCGAGCGATAGTCGATACTATTATAAGGCTAGTTGAATGCTCTCATGACCATCTAGAAAAAGCAGAAATTATGGGAGAACGGACAAGTTCGTAGGACATGCTCTGGAAACTTTTCCAAGAGATTTTTTTTTAAAAGACGGCGATAAGCTTTGTTTGATGAATAACTACTATTCTGTAAAACTGGTTCAGAAAAAAATTGAACAGTAGAAAAAATTTGTTGACTACATATGATATACTTTTCTTTTTATAATTACCTCGTACATATTTATGTTTTTATCACAAGTCCTTGGCAAATCACACAAGAATAAGCACACGACGGCGGCAGTCGGCACACGAAAGCACTCTAGTTGTTGAGCGCATAGCTTTCCCTTGCTTTTCCGAAAATAGAACAGCTTCATACTCTAGCTACTTTTAACCCCTAAACATAGCCTTCTGTAAATAGAACACCTTAAACCAAGGTTTTTTAAATTACCTAAGCTTTATTTGACCTTAAAAACTACTCTCGACATGTGCCATATTCGTCATTTTAACAAGGTTTACAGTACCTTGCCCGGGAGGTTTATCGAATCCGAGTTTATTACATAAATAGTGTAGGATTCATTTTCAAAAAAATACTAAATAAAGACATACTAAATAATAGGTTTCAATAGATTATGGGCCTCGGATACTAAATAACAGGTTTCTATAGGTTATGGGCCTCGCAAAAGCATTCCTCCTAATCTCCTTGTGTCGCAGCTCTCGCTAGCTCGCTATCATGTTCTACATAACTTCTAACTTCTCAAGCTCCTAGCAACTGCATATGTATATATTATAAAAAAATACATTTTTTTTATCAAATTATTTTCATTAGAAGAAGGCTATGCAAAATCAGATGGTGACATGATGTCGCAGTTCGACACTTTGACTGTTACTCAATCGAAATGAGACGATAAGCCAAATTCCACCAATAAAAACCTTCACCCTGTCCAAAAATATGGGTTTTACTGTGGCTGAATGTGGCGCACTGAATGAAGTCTAAACTGAGCGGAGAGCTAACGAGATCTCAGATCTGAATGTCTGAAACAATAAAACTGAAATTTAGAAGTGCACACAAGTTTATTTTTCTAAAAGATAGAAGTTGCTCAATAGTTGACTCATGAGTCATATCTGATAGAGTGTATTGTCGATGATCCATATAGTGTGCACAATTCAAATTGATCTCATATGTCATAAGGATGCCCGCCTGTGGTATATAAGCAATGACCAGGAAGACACTATGCTATCTGTTGAATAGATTGACAAGCTAGCATAAAGTTCATTCAGTATGCGACAAAATGCTCTGTTAGGGCTAGTTGCCGCCGCCAGTGTTCTTGCTGATCCCATTCTAGTCAGTACGCAAAATAATTCTATGGTAGAAGGGAACGTCACATTTGAAGAACAGTCGTCTGGTGGTCTCACTTGGGCTGCCAACCTGACGTTACTCGATGCAGGGTTAACCACGTACGATGATTGTATATCTGCCGATGGCAAGTCAATTGACCTCAATTGGCATGTACACGTGGGTAGACCTACGAGCGACGACGCAGTGGGTTCAGAGTGTGGAGCTACCGCTGGTGATCCCCCTGTAGGCGGTCACTACGATCCTAACTATGCGTGTGGGTCATCAAGCAATGAGCAGGATACGTGTACGGAGCTGAACAAGACCTCAAGTAACGGTTACACATACGATTGTAACCCCTCGACATATCTCTCTGATCCCAGTGTGTGTGAGGTGGGTGATTACTCTGGAAAGTTCGGCGCGATGAAATTCATGTACAGCGCAGACAATACAACGGCCACAGCAGAGGCGAGCGGAAGTGACCCATTTGGGCCAACACTGTCCGAAATTACAAACATGAGTATCGTATTCCACTGTGCCTCGCCTCGATTGTTCTGTGCCACTATGCTCGCGAGCGATGACGGCAATGCGGCCGTAAAAGGGGCGGGTTTGGATCTAGTACTTATGATGGCAGTCACTATCAGCTCACTAGCCTTTCTAATGTGAACGTAGTTTCCACTTTAGAGAAACACATCACGACCGATCCATATAGTATATCGGATAACTTCCTGTATGAAATCCTGGATGTTAGCTGTTGAGCTAGTGTACGTACGTCAGTCACGGAAGCATGATCTTGAGATATGTTAAACAGCACTATGTGACGTCATGCAGATATTTACCTCCACGTCTTACGGCTTTCACGACATAACGTAGGGAGTTGCTCAGGAAGCATACCTTATTTTGTGATCCTTTTATTGTACCCATCGACTCCAAATATCATAACACAATACCGCAAATAAGTGCTCGAGTAGCTTATAATGTTGCCGGTTTGAAGTACTGTGATCGCTTTAGTACGTTTATGTACTCAATAATAATAAATGGAACATAAACGAAGACAACCATATCTTACGAATTGAAAGATTGACACTTGATTGTAGTCTGAGAAAGATGTCTCCACCGCCACACGCATACCCCATGTACTCTGGACCATTCAGAAATTGATTATAATCGTAGCAATCACATCAACTACACCATACATAACCCATCAAGGCTTATATTTGTGCACATGATATATATATATATATTAATATGTGTGTGAGTGTAAATATATATATATATATATATATATTGTGTCATGTTGTTCAACTTTGACCTAGATGTTAATCTCTAAAGCCCATAAAAAGTGCATTATTGGGCAAGGCAAGACAAGACCGGATAGAGGATTATTTGTTCGCATATGCGAGTCTCATAAATACTGGCACTATCGAAGCATTTCACCATTGAAGTGGTTCAAAGACAGATGGATGTCAAATGACAAGGATTTATTGAAAACCTTTGTTGTAACTCAGCGTTCCGAGAACATTTTCTCAGAATATACATTCATCCTTGGTCCGCCAACTCATTTCAGAAGAGCTCTCTCGCGCATGTAGATACTTCAAAGTGTCCTAATTTAGTACTTAGAATTTATTTCTACGCCCCTTGCCCGGCCTCTTTGCGGCGCCCTGCTTTTGTTGAGTGTGTACAGTAGTTTGTGTAAGTAATGAATTCGATTAATGATAGGCCGGAACTGAAGAAACAACCCAAAAGTTAAAATAACACGATATAAATTCATATTCGCAGAATACAACCGAAGCCAAGAAAGAAGTAAAACCCTGGTTCAGATACCAACTTTTCGAGTACGAGTTCTACATGATAACGGATAGCACACATGTAAGCTTTATAGTTTTGGCTGCTAATGTATGCATGCATAAAAACTTTATTTATTTTGATCGTTGCTGGCAAGCGGTATATTCACACGAGTGTGTGGCAATACATTGCTAGCATAAGACTACACCTTAGTATATGAATAAACCCATCCTTTTACATACACACCACTCGAGAGTACTTACCTTCTTCTTGGTTCCCATGCCCTTCAGCGGTTGCTTCATCTGTTTAGGGTTGAAGTTCGACTTATCCGTGCTATCCCGCGTGTTGCTCTTTGCGTGCTTTTTTCCACCGCCATATCCATACTTGGCATCTGCGGCCTGTCGCTTAGGGTTGTGCATAGGTTTCGCTCGCTTGTTGAATGCGCCCGTACTATCCCTATCCGTGTCCGCCTTTCTTTTATTGCTGCAAGGATATTGGTATAGTCAATGAGCGAACGAGTGCTAACTGCGAGATGAGTCATATGCACGAACAAGCTCCCCTTAACACCGGTCCTTCAAAATTCGTATGCAGTGCAACGACGAGAAATATATCCAACGAGAGAAGCATTCATGCTACCAAAAATTTGAACCCGGCAACAGTTCCTTGGTTGTAGCCATGATACTTACCCGCCACTCAATTCCTTCTCTACAGTAATATTGAACTGATCGTCGTCATCTTTATCGCCGATGTGATTGTCCCGGTTCTTTCTCAATTTCTTGATTGATTCTAAGTCATCCTTCTTCTGTTTATTTCGCTTCTCAAGCACCTGATAGAAACCAAATGAAAGATGATATAAATCCAATACGTTAGCACCCGAGTTTTTACGACTACATATCCTACCTATTATCTCAGCCTATTTCTATAGAGCGTAGGGAATACTGCATACTAGCGTAGATCTAAGTTCTGATTCCAGCCAAGGTTTTCCAAACTGCGTTTACGCGTGGCATACAACAACCACATACGAACGTACTCTATCCCAGCACCAGCGTCTCATACTCATACAACAGTGATCATATCATGTTAAGTGCCGGTTTTACATCCGTACCTGTTTCTCGATCTCTTTGCCGAACTTCTTGAGCTCGCGTTGCTTCTTGGCGTTCTGACTCTTCTCCAGATTCTCCCTCTCCTCGATGAGCTTCATTCGCACCCGCTTCATGTGTTCGTCGCTCTTCACCATCTCCGCAAAGTAGTCCTCTGGTCTGTCTACAGGTACATCGTAGACTGTAAGACGCGTACGCGCGATATTGGCGGCCTCCAGTGCTTGTTTGTAACTGAAAGCGGCAGAATACACAGATCAGTTCAATGGGTGAGCACATCAGGTGTGTGAGAAGCGTGTATATGGTCCATGGATGCTAATACGACAATAACAATCGTGCAGAGGCTAAATATACATATATATATATATATGTGTGTTTATCTAAAAAGGACGAGGATGTTCCTTATTTGTGATTGCGAGATAATGATATATCTTAAGACCTAAGCAGTCTGTGCAAACATAACATGCCATCCAATTACGAGATCGACTTCCAACAGCCTCAGTCTCGCGCTTGCTCTGAAATCTTCGCACGAGATCACAACAAATCACAACTCGAGCCAACTGCTGTATACAACCACGTTTTCTCTTGTTTCTAGCGTTCGTCATGATTCCGATGATACATATATGAATTGCAAACTGCTCAGTGTGCGCTAACATACGTTGCCCTCGGCAAGGGTTGGAGAAAACAAAGTATACGAACAGAGTAGAAGTGATATCATACATAATATCCCACATCCATGCACAAACAAGTTCACGTTACAAATGCCAACACGTCTTGAACACAAACAATGTCCGTAAACAAGCCGCTTCTTGAGAAATACTTGCAGACCGTAAGCACGCAAAAAAAACACAGAAATGCTCCAACAAACAACAACAGCGCGCAGACCCAGATATATCCCAAACATTCATGATCACACTAACACGGGAGTCCCCGTGGGTAGCGCTAGGCTTGACTCGGCAGTCAGAACTGCGCAGAAAACGTATTATTACTTACAAAGCCATCTCTCTCTCTGCGTCATCATCTATATTCTCAATAACCAGGGGTTCGGCGGATGTGACATCCATACGCTGTACCCAGTGCATATCAGCGGGGTATTTGATATCTGCCAAACGTTGTTCCAACCCAGGCTGAAATTCGTACGAATGAACTTTTTAATTAAATATTTTTCTCATTTGGTTTTCAGAATTTCCATTGCGGTAGCAGCGCCTTTGACCGCAGTTCGCGATCTTAGATAAGGTCAGCTGGACAACAATATTCACAAAAATATATTTTGGAGGGTTCCTGGGTATGCAGACATGCATCCTCATCGGCGCGATATGTACAAGATCTAATATTTGTTCTAAATATGTACGCATGCTATGTCTACATCTACACCTACCTCTGTGTATAATGATTTACAACTGTGCTGATTCAAGCTTTATATAGTGCAGAAACTAAATCCAGATCATCTACTCGCACACTTCTGTAAAAATGTAAACTAAGGAGGCATCTACTACCGCACCGTACCCTTGTTTTAAAGGAGAAAATACATGTAAACAATGCACAAGGAAGAGAGTAAACGCGTATATACAAATACACATAAGACATACATAATTAATGTTATATACCGATATACGTGAAAAAACAATTAAATTCCTGATATGCCAGAAACAGGTGAAGATTCATACGCAACTTTTGACTGTACATTGATATCCCAACTATGTAGATCCGAACTAACAACAATCCAAAATATTTATATATGCAACAGAAATCAAAGTGAATAAGGATGTACCAATATAACATACAAGCTTGAAAAAATAAACGGAACCCTGAAGGCGGGGGCCTAAGCATGTATAGAAGAACCAATGCTTGTATCAGAGTCTAGTGCTTGTACATACATACATGTACGTCAATATAAACGTGCATATATATATACATACATGCATACATACATACAAATAAACATACATGCATACATACATACATGAATACATGCACGTATACATACATACATACATGAGTATAAACATACATACATATATACATACATACATACAAACAAAATCCATTCATGCACACATGTATGCATGCATACATGCATGCATTCAAAATTACACACATACAAACATACAATAAATATGAATATACATTTATTTATACGTATATGTATATAACATATCCACGTATATATACATATAGATATATAGATATATATATTCATATTATACATACAAACACATACAAGCAAATATAAATATATATATATATAGATCATATATCATATATATATAATATGTATATATATATATACGTATATATATTTATTTTTGTGTGTATTTATGTGCGTATCTACAGATATATATACATATATATGTATGTATATATGTATATATATATATGTGTGTGTGTGTGTGCGTGTGTGTGTATGTATGTGTGTATTTATATACATATATATAGATAGATATATAGATATAGGTATCTAAATATATATATATATATATATGTGTGTGTGTGTATATATATATGTATGTATATAATATATATATATATATGTATATATGCATGTATATATAATATATATATATACGCAATTATGTGTGCATATATAGATAGATATATATATATATATATATGTGTGTGTGTGTGTGTGCATGTGTGTGTGTGTGTATGTACATATAATATATAATATATATATATACATATATATATATATGTATATATATAATATATATATATATGTATGTATGTATGTAATGTA